TCAGCCCTGGCTGTGCTTCGGGGGCCCGGGGCGGCCTCAGGCCTCTTCTCGCTGCGGCCAATTCTCCGAGGTCTCATCCCAGTGCAGGACCCGCCACCAACTCCCAGGCTCCCACTGCACCAAGCCCTTTAAGATCCATGACTCATGGCTGGGTGTGGTGGTTCATGCCATAATCCCAGCACTTTGGGAGACCGAGGTGGGCAGATCATGAGGTCATGAGATCGAGGTTGAGGCTACAGTGAGTTATAATGGTATCCCTGCAGCCTCCTGAGTAGCTGGGACTATACGTATATGGCACTATGCCTGGTTAATTTTTAAATATTTTTGTAGAGATGGGGTCTTGCTATGTTGCCCAGGCTGGTCTCAAACTCTTGGGCTCAAGTGATCTGCCTTGGTCTCCCAAAGTGCTGGGATTACAGGCATGAGCTGCCACGTCTGGCCAGTGCCCATTTTATTTTATTTAATTGTTTTTTTTTTTTTGAGATGGAGTTTTGCTCTTGTTGCCCAGGCTGGAGTGCAGTGTCGTGATCTCAGCTCACCGCAGCCTCCTTCTCCCAGGTTCAAGTGATTCTCCTGCCTCAGCCTCCCGAGTAGCTGGGATTACAGGCATGTGCCACCATGCCTGGCTGATTGTTTTATTTTTAGTAGAGATAAGGCTTCTCCATGTTGGTCAGGCTGGTCTCAAACTTTCAACCTCAGGTGACCCGCCCCCCTTGGCCTCCCAAAGTGCCGGGATTACAGGCGTGAGCCGCTGTTCCTGGTCCATTTTATTTTTTATTTATTTATAATTTGAGACAGAGTCTCGCTCTGTTGCCCAAGGCTAGAGTGCAGTGGCGCGATCTCGGCTCACTGCAACCTCCGCCTCCCAAGTAGCTGGGCTTACAGGCGCTGGCCACCATGTTCAGCTAATTTTTGTATTTTTAGTAGAGACAGGGTTTCACGATGTTAGCCAGGTTGGCCTCAAACTCCTGGGATGAAGTGATCCTCCTGCCTTGGCCTCCCAAAGTGCTGGGATGACAGGCATTAGCCGCCACGCATGGCCAGTGTCCATTTTAGTTAAGGCAAAAGAGAGGGGAATCTGTTGACCCAGGTTGGGGGTGACATCAGTTGTTCTCAAACTGGGTTCCCTAGAACCCTCAGGACCACCCCACGGATGGTAGGGTCCAGCTACCTGCTGGGTTGTGGTGAGGAGCCTGGACACCTTCACCGGTGGCCAAACTTTCACTGAAGAAAGGGCTTGGGGGCATATCAGGTACCCACGGCCCATGGATCTGCAGAGGACCAGACAGACTTGCCTGAGCCTGAGCAAAAGGTTCTTAGAGTGCCCGGAAGCCTAAGGCCACCTGGGAGCAGGTGCATGCAGCCCCTAAATATGTCCCAGCCCAACCCCCTTCTTACCTCCCCCACAGCCTCCATCCTGGTCCCCTCGTCCCGTGGCGCCATCCCCCGTGTCCCCATCTATCCTTCCTGTAGCAGTCAGAGAGTGCCTGTGAACACCTGAGTCAGCTTTCATCCCTCCCCTGCCCACCACCCTCCATGGCTCCCACCTCCCTTGGGGTCAAAGCCAAGTGTTCCTGGCAGACCACAGGACCCTACACACCCTGCCTGTCCCTTCCCTGCCCTCCCCTCCTCCCTCTCTCCCCTCCTCACTGCTCCAGCCCCATCAGCCTGCTTGCTGCTCCTCCAACACCCAGGCACGGTCCTGCCCCAGGGCCTTTGCACCACCGTGCCCTCTGCCTGAGCTGCAGGTCTCCACAGGTCTTTCCCCGGGTCTTCACATGGCTATTTCTTTCTTGTCATCCAGGCCTGGGCAGACATGCCCCCTCCTCAAGAGGCCCTCCCAGATCCCCCATCTATTTTATTTATGTATATATTAAAAATTTTTTTTTTTTTTTTTTTTTTTTGAGACGGCGTTTCACTCTTGTTACCCAGGCTGGAGTGCAATGGCGCGATCTCGGCTCACCGCAACCTCCGCCTCCTGGGTTCAGGCAATTCTCCTGCCTCAGCCTCCTGAGTAGCTGGGATTACAGGCACGTGCCACCATGCCCAGCTAATTTTTTGTATTTTTAGTAGAGACGGGGTTTCACCATGTTGACCAGGATGGTCTCGATCTTTTGACCTCATGATCCACCCGCCTCGGCCTCCCAAAGTGCTGGGATTACAGGCTTGAGCCACCGCGCCTGGCCTAAAAAAAAATTTTTTTTTGAGATGGAATCTCACACTCTGTCACCCAGACTTGAGTGCAGTGGCATGATCTTGGCTCACTGCAACCTCTGCCTCCTGGGTTTAAGCGATCCTCCTGCCTTGGCCTCCCAAGTAGCTGGGATTACAGGCACCCACCACCACAACTGGCTCATTTTTATATTTTTAGTAGAGACACGGTTTTGCCACGTTGGCCAGGCTGGTCTTGAACTCCTGACCTCAGTTGAGCCACCCGCCTACCTCCAAAGTTTTGGGATGGCAGGCGTAAGCCATGGCACCTGGCCAATTCTTTTCTTTTTCTTTGAGACAGGGTCTCACTCCTGTTGCCCAGGCTAGAATGCAGTGGCGTGATCTCGGCTCACTGCAGCCTCAACCTCCCTGGGTTCAGGTGATCCTCCCACCTCAGCCTCCCAAGTAGCTGTGACCACAGGCACACGACACCACGCCTGTTTTTTTGTTTGTTTGTTTGTTTGTCTTTAAGTAGAGACAGGGTTTTGCCATGTTGCCCAGGCTGGGAAATTCTCTAGAAGGACCTGCAAGTTTGTGGTTATGAGGAAACAGAGTCAGAGAGGGCCAGGAGCTTGCCGGTTTATAAAGCAGTAATGTGGCAGAATTGGAATTTGAACCCAAACTTTCAACCAGCGCAACCCTTTCCTCATCCCAGCCCACTGCATATTTGGGGTTCAAGTCTCCTCTCCTAGAGCCCACCCCAGCGGGAAAGCTTTAGGAAGCTTCTGGAAGCACGGTGTCCTGTTATCCTCTCCTCGGGCCTTTGACAATGTCTTTCCGAATCACCTCCACCCGTCAAAGCACCCCCCCACCCCGTTATCTCAGCTCTTTCCACAAGAAAAAGGAGATGACCAGCCCTTTTGGACAGATGGGGAAACTGAGGCCTAGAAGCTGGGGATTTCCAAGATGCCAAGAACTCTGCTAGAGGTACCTGGGTCAAAACTTGGGCGGGTGTGATTTCAGGGAGGTCGTCTGCTGAGGGGTGTCGGGGGTGCTGGGTAGGGGCGGGCACCCTGTGGAACTGGGCCTTCGGTTCCTGCCCTTCTCTGCCCCTCGAGCCCCTCCTGGTCTGTAACGCCTCAGGCTGTACCTGGGCAGGAGTGAGTCACTTTTTAGCGCTGACTTCTTTCTGGGCGGAGTGTTTCCCTGACAACGGCTGGAGTTCTGTCCTCAAGGCACCCTCTCTTGGCCCCTTTGGACAGACAGGGACACTGAGGCCTCTGGAACCCACCTGATTGAATTGTCAATCAAAAGACCCCTCACCCACCCGGGCTGACTCCTGGGGGAACAGGGATGAGGAGAAACTGAGGCTCTGGGAAAACCTGACCAGCGGTCCAAGGCCACACAGCGGGAGGGGCCGCACCGTGGGGCCTCAGACCTGTACCCATCTGCAGAGTCTCTTCCTTTAGGGACCCCCTGGCACCCCACTATCAGAGCAGGGTTCAAGTCCCGCCCCGCAAGGCCCATATTCCCCCAGGGGTCCAGGCACTCACCCAGCACCTACAGCTCAGGCTGCTCCAGCCTCTGTTCGGTGCTCAGTTCACCCAGGTGTTTGTGTGGCTGGAGGCAGCCCTTTGTTCACGTTTCCATAGGTACAGCCCTGAGTGGGCCCCTCCTCCGCCCCTCCCACCCCCTGCCCGGGCAGGTCCTGGCCCGGCCCATCCTGGGAGCTTGTTATGTTTCAAAGTTGGCGCCCTGAGACCTGCGGTGGTGGCAGAGGGCACAGCCCGTGCAAAGACCCTGAGGTAGGCCCTCGCCTGGGGTGCTGGAGGAACAGGAGGTGGCCCGCGTGGCTGGGGCAGAGCCGCAGCGAGGGTAGGGGGTTATGAGCAGGGCCTGTACCTGACCGGCTCCTATTTTACAGACAAGGAAACAGGCTCAGAAGAATTGAAAAATTGGTTCAAGGTGCCATGCGGGTCCAGAGCTCAAACCTCGATTTGTCCCAGCTCTGTCACCACCAGGCTGACCCCAGGGAGCCTCCCGGGCCATTCACCGCCCCCAGCTGAGCTGGGACAGGCTCAGGAAAAAACCTCTGGTGGCCTGTTTACACCTGGGGCTGCTCCTCCCCCAGCCTTTTCCCCCACCATAGAGAAGGATGCAGAGAAAATAGATTCCGTGTGCCTCTGTCTCCACCTCCCTGGTCCAACAACGGAAGCACTGGCCTCTTTCTAGCCTTTAGTTTACCCCCAGGAAATGGGCCCGGTTCCACTTCATGGAAAAGGCCAGGAAGCGACAGATGTGCATCGGATCACCTGCCAATTACCTTGGCAGCGACGGTCCCAGTTCACAGCTGGCAAAACTGAGGCCGAGGCCCCACAGGCCACTTGGGAGCTCGCTAGGGGCTGGTCTGGGTGGGCCTGGGTGGGCAGGCCTGGGCCTGGCTTCCCGTCACCGATGCCTGGTTTGGCCAGAAGCTGCAGTCATGCCCACCTCCGCACGGCTGGCCCGGCTGGCCCCCCCACCGGAATGCCCTCGGGGTTCTGGAAGCTGGCCTGAGCACCTGCGGCCCTGTAGTTAAAGGGGGCAGAGTCCAGCAGAGTCGAAGTGGGGGAGTGGGGGTGCTGGTCCCAGAGCTTAGCCCAACGCCAAGGGGGACAATTGAGACTCAACCTGCCTCCCCCTAACCTATACAGCGACAGTGATAGAGAGACAGAGGGAAACTGAGGCAGGAATACCGACAGACGGACAGTGGGGTGCAGAGGCATTACAGGGCGGGAGAGACAAGAGGGCGGCCAGGTGGTCCCCAGGATGTGCTGAAACCGGGGGGCGCCCCGGCCCTGCTCGCTCACCTGCTCTCGGAGCAGAGTCCGTGCGTCCGACCGTCCGGGGTCCGTCCAGCCGCCTCCGCGGGCCGGGGCAGTTGCCGGGGCGGTGGGAGCAGCGCCGGAGCCGGGGCCGGGGCCGGGGCGGGACGGGCAGCTCGGCCCCGCCCTCCACTGGCCTCGCCCCTCGGCAGGCCCCGCCCTTCCCCGCCCCGCCCGCGCGGAACGGACCGGAGGGTTGCCAGGCGTAGAGGGCGGGCCGAGCGCGCCGGATTAGCCAATGGCAGCGCGGGCGCTGTACAAAGAGGCCAATGGGAGCAGGGCATTGCGACGGGGCGGGGTCGGACGGGGAAGGGGCGGAGCCTGGGGCGGGGTCAGGCGGCCCTGGGGGATTCCTCCGGAATCGCGAAGGGGCCCGGATGCGGGGGCGAGGCTGTCGTGGAGGCGCTGGCCACAGAAAAGGGAAGAAAGAGATAAGACTATGAGACAGAAAGAGAACCTGGGGAGGGAGGCACAGAGACCCCGACAGGAAGAGAGCAGGGAGCCAAAAGCCAAAACAGACCAACCACGTGTTTCTGCACGGGCCCCTTCCTCCTTCTGGGACTCAGTTTACCCACCTGGATCATAGAAATTTAGGCAGAAGGATGTTTCTCAGAGTACGGCCTCGGGGAACCCTTCGCATCAGAAAGATCTGGGAGCCCCTTTAAAAATGCAGATTCCAGCTAGGTGTGGTGGCTCACGCCTGGAATCCCAGCACTGAGAGACCGAGGCAGAAGGATCCCTTGAAGCCAGCAGTTTGCAACCAGCCTGGGCAGCATAGGGAGACCCTGTCTCTACAGAAAAATAAAAATTAAAATTAAAAATTAAAAAGTTGGCCGGGCGCGGTGGCTCAAGCCTGTAATCCCAGCACTTTGGGAGGCCGAGGCAGGCGGATCACGAGGTCAAGAGATCGACACCATCCTGGTCAACATGGTGAAACCCCGTCTCTACTAAAAATACAAAAAATTAGCTGGGCATGGTGGCGCGTGTCTGTAATCCCAACTACTCAGGAGGCTGAGGCAGGAGAATTGCCTCAACCCAGGAGGCGGAGGTTGCGGTGAGCCGAGATCGCGCCATTGCACTCCAGCCTGGGTAACAAGAGCGAAACTCCGTCTCAAAAAAAAAAAAAAAAAAAAAAAATTAAAAAGTTAACAATACAGATTCCTGTGCCACCAGAAGGGATGAATCTAACCCAGGTTTGTGGGGCTATAGATAAGTCTTTGGGGTGAGGTGGGCAGCACCTGGAGACCCCACCAGAGGATCCCGAAGGTCCAGCCTCGATTTCCGTAGGAATGAGCTTGCTGGACACACGAGAACCTCCCGGCTGCGCAGCTCCAGCTGGGCCCCCCCAGGGAGGATGCAGCTGTGAGTCCTGGGAACCAGGCCCTGGAGCGGCTCCCAGATCCCCTGCAGCTCCGTTTCCGCCCCGCTGCCCCAACTCTGGGTCCCGGTTGCAGCTAGGGCCAGGGAGCCCGTAGCAACGCCGCTGCTTTTTCCTCCAGGAAGCCAGAGGACACATTGTTGAGGGCCTGTGGTGTGTCCTCAGCTGCACACCGGATTCAGGAAGACCGTGGCGCAGGCCTCAGGAGGCAAAAGTAGGTTCAGTATCTCATTGGCCGGTCGCGGTGGCTCACGCCTGTAATCCCTGCACTTTGGGAGGCCTAAGTGGGCGGATCACCTGAGGTCAGAAGTTGGAGACCAGCCTGGCCAACGTGGTGAAACCCCATCTTTACTAAAAATACAAAAACGAGGCCGGGCGCGGTGGCTCACGTCTATAATCCCAGCACTTTGGGAGGCCGAGGCGGGTGGATCACGAGGTCAAGAGATCGAGACCATCCTGGTCAACATGGTGAAACCGTCTCTACTAAAAATACAAAAAAAAATTAGCTGGGCATGGTAGCACGTGCCTGTAATCCCAGCTACTCAGGAGGCTGAGGCAGGAGAATTGCCTGAACCCAGGAGGTGGAGGTTGTGGTGAGCCGAGATCGCGCCATTGCACTCCAGCCTGGGTAACAAGAGCGAAACTCTGTCTCCAAAAAAAAAAAAAAAGCAAAAAAAATTAGGGAGGCGTGGTGGTGCATGCCTGTAGTCCCAGCTACCTGGGAGACTGAGGTATGTGAATCACTTGAACCCAGGAGGCAGAGGTTGCATTGAGTCGAGATCACGGCACTGCACTCCATCCTGGTTGACTCCATCTCAAAAAACAAAACAAAACAAAAATCTCCTTATTTCATTTTGGAGGAGGAGGCTGAGGCCGGGAGAGAGGAAGTAACTTCCCTGAGGTCACTTAGGCGCAAGTCAGTGGTCAGGAGTGACTGTCCCATTTCACAGATGACGAAATGGAGCCCCAGAGGAAGGACGCGATCGGTCCCAGGCCACACAGCCAGGATGGGGGAGGAGTGAGATTAGGACCTGATTGGATCTGACTTTGGTGGTGTGTCTACAGCTCCTCTCGGCAGCCCCAGCTTGATCAAGGGGGTTTCCCCATCAGGGCAGGGGGACTGTGGGCATCTGAGCCTAGTGTGATAGTGTGATTTGGCCTTTTATCTGTCTTTTTTTTTTCAGACACAAAGTCTCATTTTGTCATCCAGGCTGGAGTGCAGTGGTGCAATCACAGCTCACTTCGACCTCAACTTCCTGGGCTCGAGCGATCCCCTCCCCTCAACCCTCCCACGTAGCTGGGATCACAGGTGTGCACCACCATGCTCCGCTAATTAAAAAAAAATTTTTTTGACACATAGTTTAGCTCTTGTTGCCCAGGTTGGAGTGCAGTGGTGCGATCTCGGCTCACCATAGCCTCCGCCTCCTGGGTTCAAGTAATTCTCCTGCCTCAGCCTCCCGAGCAGTTGGGATTACAAGTGTGTGCCACCACACCCGACTAATTTTGTATTTTTAGTAGAGATGGGGTTTCTCCATGTTGGTCAGGCTGGTCTTGAACTCTCAAACTCAGGTGATCCATTTGCCTCAGTCTCCCAAAGTACTGGGATTACAGGGGTGAGCCACCTGGCCGGGCCAGTTTTAAATTTTTTTATAGAGATAAGGGAGGTCTCACTATGTTGGCCAGGCTGGTCTCAAACTCCTGGCCTCAAGCAATCCTCCTGCCTCTGCCTCCCAAAGTGCTGGGGTTACAGGTGAGAGCCACCACACCTGGTATCTTTTCTGTATCAGATGAGAAAGTTGGGGCTCGGGAGGGCTGGGGTTCAGCTGGGTGTGTAAGTGAGGGAGGGGTGATCTTGGCCAGGAGTGCAGGCTCACCGGGAGATGGGACTCAGCAAGAACAGGGGCTCTGCCGGGATTGGGCTCTGTCTACGGTAAGGGTGCAGCCCGGGGTCAAGGTTCAGCCCGGAGCTGGAGGCTCTAGCGAGGGTCCAGGCTCAGCCGAGGGTCGGAATTTAGGCAGGCTCACAGGCTCTATCCCGGGTCAGACCCAGCCTAGAGAGGGGCTGAGCCCTGAAATGGGGGCTCAGGCTGATGGAGACTCTACTGGGTTTGAGGCTCAGCTCAGGACCGGGGCTCAAAGAGGCATCAGAGGCTCTATCCAAATTTGGGGCCTCAGCCAGGGTCCCAGCTCTATTGGGATTGAGGTTTAGCCCACAGCAGGAGCTCACCCCAGTGTCTGGGTTCTGTAGGAGGTCGGGGGCTCCATCCACAGTTGGGAGCCCTATAACCCCAACTCAGCCAGGTGGGAGTCCCGGGGCCCCCGGGGGTCGCCGCTGCGCCACTTCCGATCGTGTCCGGCAGAGGGCGCGCTCTGCCCGCAGTCCGGGCTGGCGGCGCCTTCGCTTCCCCGGAGCCCGCGGCCGGGGCGGGGTCCCCGGGCCCGAGTCTCCCCGGAACCTAGACCCACCAGCGTCACCCGCACCCCCGGGCCAGGCCTCGCACCCCGCCGGGCTGTGCCACCCGCAGCGAGCGACCCCCCTTCTCTGGGCCTCTGTCCCGGGCCAGGAACACGCGACCCCGGTTGGAAGAGCTATGGGACCTGGAATGGGGGGCGACGGCACTCTGTCTGGGGGGATGGGGGGACCCTGGTTGCAGGGGGATGGGACTCCCATGAGCCAAGATCGTGCCACTGTACTCCAGTCTGGGCAAGACTCTGCCTCAAAAAAAAAGAAAAAAGCAAAGAAAACCCGGAGAATTGCCCCACCCAGAGAGCGGGGAAGCTGGGGTATTTATCCCCCTGCACGTTCAACCAGCATTGGCCAAGGACTGCTCCCAGGAACCTTAGATCCGGGCAGAGAGAACGTCCCTAAAGAGAGATGCGGGGCGCGGGGGAGGGGGAGGGTGGGGGGGATGAGATCCCAGTTGGGGGGCTTGGAGGAGGCAGCTTGTTCTGTTCTGCAGACGCCTGGGGGACTCCTCTTCGGGGCCAGAACGCGCTCCCCTCCCCCAGTGGTGACTCCCACACATCCGCCATCCATCTGTCCGGAGCCCATCTGTCTGTCTCTGCAAGACCCTTTCCAAGGCCACTTGAGAAACGGAGTGGGTGGGCGGGCCCTGAGCGGGACGGAGGAGGGAGCGAACCCCCCACCTCTCAATGTCCAGGCCCGGGGGTCTCCTGGAACTTTCCCAAGGTCACTGGAAGAGAGGGAGGTGATGTCACCCTCCCTGGGGTCAGCGGCTGGGCTTGGGGTCAAGGGCGCACCCCCGTCCCCTGCCCCACTAAACCAACTCCCTGCTGGCAGAGAAGGGGCCAGCCTGCCCCTGAGGGAGGGTGGATTTACAGCATCAGCCGTGCAGACGCCAGCGAGTACCAGGCGGGTGTCTGGGAGGCAGAAGGCACGTGTGTGCCCGTGTGCCCCTGTGTGTGGGGGGGTGTGTTCGGAGGGAGGGCAGCCCAATCTGCTGCTGCTGCCCCTGGGCATAGAGAATCCTTAGTCATTCCGGACAGGAAAAGAAACGGCACATTCTGGAACCTCAGTGACTGCATCTGGAAGATGGGTGCAGCAGTGTAGCCGAGTCAGAGATTTGTAGAACTGCAAGGACACGGTGCTAGGACTCAGCACTCTCGCGTTGGCTGACGGCCTCCGTAAGAGACCAGCTCGGTGGCTCACGCCTGTAATCCCAGCACTCTGGGAGGCTGAGGTAGGCATATCGCCT